ATCTTTAACACATTTTTCCATGAATCAAGGTCCCGTGAGGAGTGTAAAATCTCCTCTAAATACTGAAATGGTAAAACTGGCAGCAAAAGACTGAGCGCGCTTCTTAATGAAACAGCCTTAAGCACCAAAAAGTCTTCTTCTAGCATCATCACAATGGGTGAAACAATCAAAAGTAAAACCCAGAATCAGGTAGGCAGACTTTTCTTGCTTCATGATGGTAATTGGCTGAAAGTTTAGAAATGTGTACTGTAGCAACACCAGCGCTGAGACTAAAGCAGCCAGGTCAAACAGAAAGCAAAATGAAATTGTTGCCTTAAAATAACATATTTGCCCCTTACAGATTTATCCTGTTTTTTACACTTAATATTTTTTTATATATCAACCAGCAGATTTTAACAGTAGAAAAACACAAAGTGATTAAATACAAAACACAGTTTGTAAACTTAACCAACCTTGCCATACGTGAAAAACTAATTGCTCTTCAAACTTCATAGCTGGTTATATTAGCATTTGGGATAACTTGTAGTGAATCTTTAAATTGTTGAGAAAATATAGCCTACTCTTTGGAAAACTGATTTACTGCAGACATATTAGAGGATTTTCGAGCAGGAATAGGCTAAGATCATGGCACAGGATTTTTATTCAATAAAGTCTCTGACCAGGCCACTCCAGATTATTATTATTATTTTTTTTGAGCAACTCAGAGGTGGACTTGCTGGTTTGCTTTGAATCATTCTGCAGCACAACCCAAGTGCGCTTGAGCTTAATGTCAATAATTGATGGCAGCACATTCTCTGTCAGAATTTTCTGCCGGAGACCATCCCTGGTCCATCATTTTACCACCAACATTTTTACAGTGAAAATAATGTTGTTGTTTTTTCTTTTTTGTTTGTTTGTTTTTTTCTTAAATGTTGTATTAGTTTTATGTCAGAATTAAAGGAATGCAAATCTTCAAAAAAGTACTACCTTTCTCTCACCAGTCTGAATGATAAGAAGTGCCTTGTGCCTGGAAAGCACCTCATTTATGCCATTTTATTCCAGTCTCTTTCTCATATTTTTTAATAATAAATACCCACCCTGGACTGGGGTAGGCGATAAAACTGGGCATTATGTTTCTTTTTTTTTGTTCTTTTTGAGAACTTTTAGTTTACTTCATGTTGCCAGAAAGGTTTAGTTTTTATGATTTCAACTGTAGGCAAGGATGTGGCTTGTAAAAATGAACCAACAAACAGGTAATTCATAAGATAATCAGAAGCTAACTATATTTTCACAGAGCTAGTGTTTTATTCTAACAAATGCAATAAATATTTTTCAATTATGGTTTTTTATTATAACAAGCTTATGATTAATTTTATTATTTTAAACAGTTAAGTGTAATACAAAAGCAAACACAGAAGAAACTGTAAAGGGCAAATACTTTTTCAAGGCACTGTGGATTGAAACACAGAAACACATTGTGACGCAACAAACAGACTTGAAACGGATCAAAAGCTGATCCAAACACAGATTTCATTAATTAAATATTCACTCTGTTTACAAAATATAAGCACACCTGCTTTGCACGAATCTACTGCTCCATTTCAGCTTTTCATCCACAATTCAGTTCGACGTCAAGCTCAAGTTAGACACCATATTGGAAAAAATCAATAATGCATCAACGGCTTTATCTAACTTAATCTATCCAAGTTACTTGACAAGAGCTGCAGGTGTTCTTAATATCCTGTACACCGGGTGCATTTCAAGTATTACGCTTCATGTAAACAATAACTGATGAGAAGGGAAGGGTTGGGGGTAGGGTGCTATGAGTCAAATTTAGGCTAATCTGATCCACGATCACGCTTAAAAGATCATTAATCATGCTTTCTGCAACAGTTCATTTTGGCCTCCACTTATCTTTGAATGGCTGAATTAGTGCCATATAGATCACTGTAAAAGTGTCCTATCTCAAATGAGATCTCTTCCGTACAATGTCATGTTTTATTAATAGCGTCGACAGGAGCATTTAACTCAAATGAATCATGAGATGCAGTAAAACCCAGGAAGAGGGCCCAAAATATCTCCATATATATTAAAAATTGTAGCGTTAGGATGTCTTTGAGTCTGGGACTCTTAGGAGATTTTACTCGCTTCAGAGTTTAGAAGTTCAGACAGTCGTCACAGAGTGAAACATAACACGGCACGTCTTTTAAGAGCCCATAGCAAAGGCTTAACAACACATAGTCACACATCTCTGCTCAGAATGGCTACAAATAGCAATGTCACTCCAAGTCAGTCACATGAATAACTGTCCTTCAACTTTGACATAAAATGTACTTTGAGTTACGTCTCAACAGACGTGCCGTCCCATTAAATTGGCTCCTGTCTTTGTCGAGCTCCTCCGCTGGCTTAAGCGTTGAGTCGTTCTCTTATTAAGTCCTGCTCTCTTCAGAGCTCACGCTGGTGCCTCGCACACAGTTAGTATAAGCACCGACTACAGAGGCAAACCATTTTCCCAGTGGATATGAATTGGCAGTTAAATCTGCAACTGATGATGGCCTAAATCCTTTTGCTCTCCGTTTGAGTGTTTTAGAAGCTGAATGTTTTCTTGTTGGAGTTTCTTCAGGAAAAAAAAAAGAAAGTGACACTGGTAGTAAAAGTCTTTGCTTCGGGATGTACTGCTGTGGTTTGTGTATGTACATTTGTATTCATGTGTGTGCATGTTTACACAGTAAGTTAGATCAATCTTTCTGTGTATGCTGTATATGTACGTGTGATTATGATCACACATGCACATATGGAAGTGCTGGTGTCCACATCCCAGGAGCTTGTGTGTTAAATATTCAATCTCCTCCATTACACTTTGATTTGTGGTATTAAACGCTAAAGTTTGGACAAACCATATGCATATTTGTCTTGGGAATTCTTTATGTTTTGGTGTGTATATCTCAACTTTCTGGGGACATGGCAAATATGATCTGCTCCATTTTGTATGCCAGCTTCTGCTTCTGGGCTTGTTCGTCTTGCTCCAGTGCCTCAATGATCTGGAACAGGAAAAAGAAAAAGCACACAAACACACAAGATGAAATAGCCAGGTAACCAAGGACACAATGTGTGTTTTCGGTCAGCTGAAGGAATCTGATTTACACTTGTAGGGTTTGAAATGAAAATATTTAGCAGCAGTATGTTTATCTTTACTTGGAGATATATATGAGCTTAAATTATTCATTCCGGTTTTATTTATTTGGATTAAATACAAATGAAGTACTTGTAAAGTCTTAGGCTTGGACTGATGAACTGTGGGTAATTTTAGGTTGTAATTTTGAGCATATCTAAGTATGCAAACCAATAAATTAAGCACTGATCAAACGATTAATTTCATTCCAGTTTATGGGATCTGACTGTATTTTAGGACCACATACAAAAGTCTTCGTCTTATTGTTTCTGACTTTTTCAAGAAAAAAAATAATAAGCCAGCTGCCACAATTAACTGCTATGTCTTTACTAGCTGGCAACTGGAAAGTTGTTTTTGAGATATTTAAGTTTCACTTTAATTCTCTAGTCAGGTTTCATCAACTTGTGATGGGAAATAATTGGCTCCTCAAATGCTAAATGATTCAGCTTCAGCTGGTGCAGTTTCTTTTTTTTTTTTTTTCTAAATCTAAGGCTTGGTTTGACTGGAAACAACACTATGAGCGCCAGATGAATCAGCAAAAACACTACAGGTTCCAAGATGTAAACCCAAATTAATTACAAAAACAAAATGATCAGAAAAAGCTGAAGCAGAGAAAAAGAATTGGGCAAAAACTTCACAGTCCCATAACAGTAAGGTAAACAGAACAATCCACTCTCCGTACAAAACGTGATCATATAAATCAGTAGAGCAAATCGTACTTTCAGTCGACCAACAAATATCTGAAGCCAGTTTCCACTTTGTGATGTTAGACAGGGCCTCACCTCTTGGCTGTACTTGCTGACGTAAGCGTAGATCTCATGCAGGGCACTGAGCACGTTGAACTCACTGGAGTGGAGGCGAGCCTGTTCAGCCAGATAGGCATTCATATCCTGATCACTGATGGCAGGTAGGCGGTTGATGTCAGCGTAGTACCTGAGAGGACACATACACACACGCACGGACTCAGTGTCAAGGACACAGCCATGCATACTGGAGCTTTTCTCCTCATTTGAATTCAGACTGATGTTGTGAAAAATCCAGAGAATGTTCAGGGATAAAGGATTATGTACATCAGAGACATTTGTGCAGAAAAATAAAGACATGCGTCACTCAGAGGTTTGGGCTTTCGGTTTATATAGATGAATTAAAATAAAATTCTAATTTTTTTTAAGAGTGTTCAAGAAAGATGCTCTTACACTGTAGGAATTAGTAGCTTAGCTGATTCCCATACATTGTTAATGTTACATTTAACTGCTTCTAAAGCTTCAGAAAGACATATAAAAATGATCTTAACACCAAACAGGAAATAAATAAATCTGTAGATGTAGAGAAATTCTGGTTCTGCAGGTTAATATTTTATTAATGTCAACACTTAAACTTGTTTAATCTGACTACTAGCTCAGAAGTGAAACCAAGTTATTGTAAAGGTAATCTAATTTACTTAATTTTTACATCAGTTCTACTCACTGAAACTTGACATGAGTCTGTTAGAAGTATCAAGGAACAGGATAATATTTTAAAAAGTTAAATTTTAAAAACCATAAAATGTTTTGCCATACTGTTCCTACTGATTAAGGCTATTTTAACTTTAATGTGCAGGAGTGCAGATTTATTTTGTCAATATGAAGTACTGATGTCAGCACCTTTTGCCACAAGGCCCTCAAATTGCCAGGTTGAGAGTACTTCATAAAAAATAGATGTTGTTTCTCCATGAAAATACAGAACAATATTAGAATGTTTTTATCTGATCTGACTCAAACTAGCATGCAATATTTTGATAACATGAACAATTATTAGGATTTGTAAAATATTGTAGACCTGAAATATAAAACTTCTCTTAAACAATTTATTACTGGCACAGAGATATAATCGACTTTCCTTTTTTTTGGAAAGTCAATTTCTTTATTTTCTTTGTCTTTTCTAAGCAACAAGAACGGGAAATGAGATGCTGAGCAGCCAATAGCTTAACCTTCTAGCTAAATGCTAATCTGTTTTACTCTGTAAGGAGCATAATAAAAAAATACTTTATTCACTAAAAAGTTTAATATTAATCAAAAACTGCTACTAACTGTAGCTTGTTTTCATACTATATTTTTGTTTATGTGTTTGTAGCGAAATAAAAATATCAAATTGTTTAGATAACATTGTTGTACCTGTTTTAATTAATATGTTGGGTCATTTCAGGAGCAGTAGGAAGAATAGTTTCTTTCCCATTTTAATGTAAAAGCAAGTAGATCATGTTGTACATTTGTTTAAAATTGTTGGTTACATTCATGTTACTGTGAAATTGGCAAATTTGTCCCAACCTGAACATTTCATGCTTAAGTGTAACACAAATTACTTTTTTTGTGTTATATTTACCTTTCCACCCAGCTCTTATAGTGCGGAATATCCTTGGCATAGAGCAGCTTGGTGGAGGGCGAGTCTTTGCCCAAACGATGTTCTGATGTTGAGCAAGAGTCCATAAAGGTCTGTGCCACCACTGACAGGCAGGCGTCCGTGATGCTGCTTTTATGGATGTCAAACACAAACTGGGGATTTTTGATTACATTCACCCAGAACCGCAGCGGGAGACTGGAAATATGGAAAGATATTGACAGAGTAAAATTAAAGACATAGTGTAAACACTGCAAGACATGTTTGCAAAGAGAAATTAAATACTTGCCAAACATCAAAAGCTCCTTTTGAATCTGAGTTTAATTAATCCCATGTTGACTTTTATGCTTGACTTTAGTTATGAGGTGCATATTTGAACTCTGGTAAAGTCCCACAGCTACAAGATACTTCCAAGAACAGCATAAAACTAGGAAAATCCTTGAAGCATGAGGTAAATAATAAATTCCTATTAAATTAGTTATTCTAAAATTATAATTAATACTGTGAGGAAATGTGTAAACCAGGTACATTTAGTGGAGGTTGGAATGTGCTCTGAAGGGAGACAGCCTTAATTATAGGTCTTCGTTTAGGAACAATGGATTTTTTTTTTTGTCTGACCCAAACCTAGTTGGAAATCAGTAAATTATTTCTCAGAAAGACTTTAGTTTCTTCATTTTTTAAATATATTGTATGTTGTAGCTCATCAGCATTTATTAAACCATCACCACATCAATGTCTTCAAAGTTGAAAAATAATTTGTGACATCAGACCAATTTGTATTGTGTAGCTCTTGCATTTAGCCAATAATGGAAAGTTTTAATCATTATTCCCCTCCAACATGGAGCTGATATCCTTTAGTAAAATTTAATTTAAAATTTCAGATAGACTTTTCCAAACATGGCTCTAGGTTATGATTAGTTAATAATGTGGCTTTAAGTTGATAAAATGACTAATTAGATATATAGCAACTCACTGTTGTAAATCAAAATGATGGACAGTATCCAAACACAAAAAAAAAAACTAATGGTAACATGTATAAGTATTAGTTGATAAATGAGGGAAACATTGAAAGAGAGTTGGTGAATATATTCCTGGCTGTTTAATAAGCTATGTCTTAAGTGGGACATTTTTCTCACCAGTTACTCTTCCATGTGTGGCGAACATCCATGTCATGGATGCCATGTCTGTCTGCCTGCTCATCGAGGAAGTCAAACATATATTTGATGGCGAGAGGCAGAGCAGTGCCTCGACACACGGTGCTGAACAAAGTCTCAAACAGGTCATCCACAAACTTCTGTAACGTGCCCTGTAAAAAAACATGAAGAGAAACTTCATGAAGCAGTTCAGTATTTTTGCTTCTGCTGTTAATATCTTTATCTACAGCATAGGTGCACGATAAGTTCAGATTAAGAAAAATAACAGGAAACATAGTAGAAGCTGAAAAAATGTAATCCATTCCAGTTTGCTGTTTCCATAGATACCACACAACAGAACATGTAATTGCTGTATTGGTCTACAGCAAAAAATGTTGCACAGTAAATGACTTGAAAACTGTACACAGGGCTTTCGCTAATGATTATAGCTTTTTTTTTTAAAAGCAAAGGGTGAACATCATGTTAGTTGCATGAAAGTGTAGCAGGTTTAGCTGTGAATAGTATATTTAATCACAATATTCACAATGTTCAGGTCTTTACAAATAAATAAGAGATTAAAGCACATGCTTAGGAGAAAATGAACATGGTGTCTATCTTTTAAGTGTCACCTTAGTTGCTAGCAGTCTCGTTAGGTAGATCTCGGACACCATCTTGCTTCCGCGTTCGCCCTCTTTCTGGTCACCATGGTCGTGGTTCTTGACTAAATGCCAAACTTTGACACCACTCTCCAGGTCAGGAGTGAGCATAGGCACACGGGAGTGAGGGCTGTCAGGGCTGGTGGGGGTGGAGCGGAATGGGACATCCATACCTAGGTTGGCAACATGGCAAAAAATATGTTCCAAAATAAACTTAAAATGAACCAGCTAAGCAGATGAGATATGGATTGAGACTTTATAATCACATAAAAGTATATTTGTTAAAGAAAGTTTGCCTACCCTGCAGGTAATAATGCTAAAAAATATTTTGAAAAAAGCAAACAAAAAGAAACACAAACTAAATTTTAAAGTTTATTTCCCTTTAAATCACAAAAAACAAGCATACTTGACCCTTTTGAGTATCAAAGGCGTCTTACTGTTTATGAAATCTGCAAATGTTACAGTGGTTTGTCTACCTTTAAAAAAAAACATGCTTCTGTGAGATGGATGAATATTAGATTAGATGGCTGTAATTGTTTCACATTGCTGACCGTATCTGCTGATACTGCGTGGGAAGCTGGCTGAGGAGGGAATGATGAACGAGGACATCTGTTTGGGCACCAAGGCCACCACACAGCGATCAGATACCTGAGAGACAAAGGTGCAGCGTAATGAATTTTTTGCCACAGATATTGGTCAAAAGCAGCAAAAATCATCAGTGCAATAAAACCAAGGACCAGGATTTGTTTTATTTATTTATTTTTTGACAATTATGATTCAAAGGAGCAAATAGCATAGCAATTCTGTGGGTTTTTAGAGAACTGGCCTTCAGAGACAATGACAATGACCACACCACAAGCTATTGAAGAGACCAAATATTGTGGGTATGGGGTATATTGTGTATCCTGTTAAAGTATGGCTGCAAAAATTTTATGTAACATTTTGTAATATTGCCACTAAAACGCAGCACTGCAGTCTGACTGAGCTGGGTGAGAAGCAATGGTCCTTCAACTCTACCATGAACTACTAAAATAGGCCTTTGTCTGAATAAACCTATACATGTTGTGCTGCGTGCTATCCTAACTTTTTTTTTTCTTTAAGTTAAATTAATCTTGCAACAACACTAATATTTAATTTGTATATGCAAGAGTTCCAGGAAATTCCTAAAATATCTGCCAGAAAAACGCTGTTCTGCGTGTGTTACAGATTTGGCTCACATCGCAAAAAGCTTAGCAACAAGACAAGCACTTCTGCACCTCACATGAGCATTGAAAATAAAGGGGTTTTTTTCTCCTCTTCCTCTCTTATGAGTACATACTTTTTCTTCAAGGGGTTTTAAAGTTTTCATTGTTTTTGTTTGTCTGTATTACAATAAATAACTTACTGAAATGTCAGCTGTGTGAAGAGGCCCCAAGGTGTGTCATACCACTGACAAAGAAGAATGAATTGGCATTTGAAGTCAGTGACCTGTGTATTAACACTCAAGACCTAGGGAAAAAATGGAGGCTAAAAATGACACACAAGTCCATGTTTCTTGTATGCATCAGCTGATTTACTTGTTTTGTATTAACCCAGATTGCTTAGATTCCAATGCTGCTACAGTTGCAGCAAAAATTCCTTGAATCCCACTGCAAATTTGGTTCGTTGGCAAAATGTACAGTACGAACTAGCAGCTGTACAATACACATATTAACTAAGAACTAATATTACAGGCGAGTTCTCCAAATTAAACATTAAAATGTCACTTTCAATGACTGTTGCAGTCTGGAAATGTAAAGAATCGTAGGAAGATTATCCCTTTGCTGTTTTAACCTGGTGCTAGAGCGATACATCAGCTCATCTCATTTTATCCCAGGATTTTCTGATACTTGATTGAAACCCTCTTGGTGTTCACATGCTGCAGATTTCAGCACCGGAGGAAGCAAACAGGCTCTGAGCATCACTGACCCTCAGCCATGCTTTACTGCAGGCATGTTGTTCATTTCAGCATATGCCTCAGTCTTCCTCCAGACGTATTGCGGATCCATTGACCTGAAAAGTTCTAGTTTTGATTCATTGCTCCACCGAGCAAATCCCTAAGCCTCTTTGACTCATTTTTATAGTTTTGAGCAAACTGAAGCTGACTTTACTTTTCCTTTTGGGTCAGCAGTAGTATATTCCTCAGTGTTCAGACAAGGAGTCCTTCTATGTTTAGTAAGTGACTTCAAGTGGAAACAAAGCATCAGTAGCTGTTCCTACCAGGTCTTGATCAAATCTATTTTGCCAACAGTTGAGGATTTTTCACCACATGCCTCCTCAGGAATCTGGTGATTTGAGAGCTTCCAGTCCTGCAAGGTGCAGAAAATGTACCCAAATTCCTTTAAACATGCAAACTCAGCTTTCAAATGCATCTCTTGGAACCATTACGGTCGTTATTATTGTGTCCCCTTTTCCTTCCTTTTACAAGGCAATGGACTACTCTCTGAATTTTGTTGCCAATTATCTTGGCTTGGTTTTATCATGCAATGAAAATTACATTCAACAGTTTACCTATTTAAAGTGTTGTACCTTACGCACACCTCATGCAACCATGCATTTGCATAATTGCTTCCAGAGACTATTCAGGGATTGAAAAATTAGGAGCTGTTGAACAATTTGAAGTGCAGAAACAAATGTCACTTTAACTGGTACTTTTGATGAGCATCCTTCACTCAATTTAGGAACTTAGTGATTTATGAGAAAGAATAATCAGGAGAAGATGACCATGTTTGTAATGTTGGTATTAATTTTATTCCCTCACCTGGTAGTGCATGAGTGTATTGAGTCTCTTCCAGTCGCCTTCTATCTTTGTTGTGATGTCTTCATCCTGCAGGACCACACGAGCTGTTCTGCCCTGCCGCCACTCTGTTGGAAAACACATTTAAAGGCAACAAATTGCTGTTATTTTGTGTCATGTTTACAGTATTTCTCACGTCTCAGACTTATGTTCCCCCTGTTTGACATGAATTGTTAGCCTGCACTACCCCTAAGGTTATATTATCCTTGTGTGTTATGTTTATTCTTTACAATGTGCAAGCTGTCAAGCGAAACAGGCAAAATGTCAACAAGACTGCTTCTTGTCCTTGACAATTACAAGTCAGGGGGAGTGAGAACAAAATGAAAGGACACAGTATCTTTCCTTGAGCCACCTGGAGCAATGAGACACATCCTCCCTAAATCCCTAACCTGTAAAAGCCCCTGAAGGTGTAAAGCTACATGCCCAAAGCACTATGAGGCGATACCAAGACGGTGTTTTATTTACTCTGTGTGAAGGTGCATGCCACCTAAATTTGTGCCGCATCACTCAGTATCAGATGACATGCCGTGGGTGTAAGCCTTCATGGAGTAGTCCTGTCAAAAAGGTTTAATGTCACTGTTGGGGTGTTGCTGCGATTGCAACTGCAAGCAGGTATGGGGAGGATGCGGAAACAACGGAGGAGCTGATGTCAAACATTCTCCGTAATTTGTGTTAACATGGCCAGTGTCAGGCGAATCTTTGCCTCTGTGACATTATTCCAACAGGTTGTTATGCAGTTGATTTTTTTTTTTTTTTTTTTTTTTTTTAGAATATATTGCATAAGACAGCTGCTATGATCAAAAGATTGTCTGACTCGCTCACCTAGGTCCATGTCTGTAGCTCGAGGTCGGGTGGAGTATGGCATATTTTTGTACACAGCATCCAGGATCTTTTCCTTCACCTGGGTAATTGTGTCACAGTTGAGAGCCTTGACTGGGATCTCTGGGCTGTTCTCATTGTCGGGGTTCACACAGCTCAGCGTCTGGAGATCCAGGACAGAGAGAGAGAGAGAAACCCAGAGAAGAAGAGAGAGAGAGCAAGGTGTTGCTTGGGAGGTCTTTTCATTACCTGCTCTTCACCAAGATGTCCTGGTGGAGAGCATCTTGGCTTGAAATGTAATTTCACACCTCCAGGATGTGACTGTGCAGCTCTGGCAGCAGCATTAAACACGTAATGAGACAGAGCCTCTCACACTCTCCGACACGGCGATCAGAGAGGTGTCATCTTGTCGCTGGCTGGCTCTGCTCTGCAGCTGAAGCCAGAGGGGAAACGGATTCTGATGGGCTGCTGGAGGATCCCAGCCAGCTCCGTTTCAATAGAAATGTAAAGGACAGAGACGTGTGGTTGGCCCAAACGCTTGACTTTAGTGATTAGCATAGACAAAATTAGCAATTTGGCAGAGTCTCTGCTCCTAATTATATTTAACAGTTTGAATGCATAAAGCTGCCTTTTTGATTTTTCATTCGCATATGAGTGGACGGGTGAAACAAGGAAAAGCTTGTATGCAGGCTGAAAACGGGGTATTAAGAGGCTCTGTTGTCCTGCTGTGGGCATTCTGCTGGTGTGGTTGGTTGATTTGTCTTAGAGGAACATGATTTCTACAGATCAGCGTCCTTCTGATTGATAATCCTCGTTTCAAATTAGTCATGCCAACATCCTCATCTGTAGGACACAAATACATCCTTAATACCAGTTTGATTTTATTCTGTATTCCCTTGACACATTACACTGCCTGTCACGTTGTTTCGTCTCCCTGGTAAAGAATTAAATAGAAACATGGCTATAGAAAGACCATAGGTTTTTGAAATGGCCATAGGATATGTTTTGTGTCAGGTGAACCATTTCCATATTAATTTAATCATGTTTTTTTTTTAGATGATTATCCTTCTGAAATATAAATTTTTAGTTTTTTGGGTGACTTTTATTAAAGATTTCCTGGTATTTTATAGAGGGAGCTTTATGTCTTTGAAGGGAAGTAGGCCCAAAGCAGAACTCATTCTTCACCATAACCAACAATTATCTTGAAGTGTTTTTCACTGTATTATTCTTCTCATGTTTAACGCCACATCCATCTGGACTGTTTCCTGATGAAAAGCTAAATCTTTGTCTTATCTGACCAAAAAGAAATGGTTCCAGGCAAAAACCCAACAGCACTGCATAAACTCCACATATTTATGTTTGTGAGGACTGAATAGGATTTTTCTTGGCAAGTCTCCCAGACGTCCAGTTGGCATATAGATAGTATCTTATGGAAACTTGGCCATCCCAAGAGAAAATCTCAGCAGCATTTATCCAACAGACAACTTTGGATGTTTCTCTTCCATCCCTAGCCACTTTCCTTTGTAAAGATAAACTTGAGCATTCATTATTTTGGTTTTGACGGTAGAAATGGAACGTTTTCTACAAACAGTGATTTTCTTGGAGCTCTCTCTTTAAACATCAGCACACGTTTTTCCACTTAAAATGACGTGTTTTGCTGTGTTACACATTTTGAACAAGTAAAATTGTGAGAGTCATACCTTATTTATAACTGAAAAACAGGAATGTGTGAATTACAGTTTACAATTTAGATCCTGGATTTACTGATCAGCTTGTGCTCAAGTTTAAGAAATGGCTTTTCTTGACATTTCCAGGGTAATATTTTGAAAGAAGAATCAAGGGCAGATTTAATTTAATAGAAAAATAATTGTGGAGTGCTTCATGATTCCAGTCAGCAGCTCTCAGTTTGGTAAAAGGGACTTCTCTTTATATATAATAAAAGTTTGCTTATGAAGATTAGAGTTCAGTTCATTCATCTTTCAGCTTGAAGAAAACACCAAAATGTGTGTTTAAACTGTAGATGCTCATAGAGCCCCAAACATTGTGCTTTGCATCCAAGTGCATTCCATATTTTCCTTTAATTTGTCATGTGTTGAGACATTTTCTTTTAAAACTGCGTATGAGACTGTGAGGGTTCTTTTCCAATAGCACAACATATTAATACAGACTAAATAGTGAACTTTTTTTTCCTTTATGAATGCCTTTCTGACTCACCAGTGTTTTGTACTCAATCTGCTGCCGGATGAGTTTGTCTTCACTTAGGGAATAGCGTGCCTCCCCTGTGATGGAGTCTATGGGTCCCTTCTCCATTTGCTGTTTGATGGCACAAAACAGCATGAACAGAGGCTCCCCAGCGCACTCCTTTGTTTTGGAAGGAAACCAAGCAAATGGATCGAAAAATGGGAGAAAGAACGGATGAGAAAGAAAACAAATGAGACGTGACTTGCTAATGTGAGCATTATGAATCAGGAAAACTATAGAGACGTTCAACCTCACTGGTAACATAACCCTTCGATAGTGTGGAAAAGCACATCGATATCAGGCATTTATAAACTCAGCCACAACAAGAATTTAGAGGAGTCTATTTAAGAAAAAAAAAATCAATACAAAACATTTTAAGGAGCCTGTAGTACATCACAGTGATACCTGTAGCAAAAAGAACAGAGAATGACTTAGTTTTACCTTGAGAAATTTGTGAAGCAGGAAGGCAAACCAATTTGTCAGCATCTTCTCTGCCACCGACTCTGTTCTGCAAGATGAGAAAGAGGCAGACTCATTCATTATCAGGAGGAGTCCTGCAGAGAGCTGGAGTGCTCTGATTATTTTTTTCATTATTTTAAGACTCCCGGTGTTGCAACAAGACCTAGAACGAACAGTTTAAGAAATTTGCGCATGGCCGTTTAGCCTCAGTGGACACGCACCTCACTGTAATGTCAGGTAAGTGCTGCCAGTGCACAGCACTTATAGGTTATGACATAATTGTCCAGACTAAATGGCTACTTTAGATGTCTCACACTGTTTTCTAGTGTCTGCACTTAGCTACTTTACATAAGTTCAGATTGAAAGACGTCTCGATTTTCACACACTGTGGAAAAAAAGCTAAAAACTATACTTTTCAATCAGTACCAGGTTTAAAACTTGCTGCATTGTAGCCACACTTTTTTCTTTTTCTCCACCACGTTTTGGCCCTTACCTGCATTACAACCTCAACCTACAGTGACGCAACTGTCGATGGGACCCTCTTCAACTTTTTGAGTGTGTGCAGAAGATTAATGGGTTTGGGCAAATAGCTTCTTCTACCGGCTCCTATTTGAACTTAGCCTTATATATATAATGAGTGTGAGAACACAAGTTTTATCCCCACATAAGTCTCATGAAACATTCAGCAGGCTGGTGTCAGCACAGCAAAAAACAAAAGAAGAAGAAGAAAAAACAAAACAATCGCCAGATAACTCGAGGTGGAGGGAAGAGGGAAAGAGGCGAGAGAAAGGAGAGGAGGAGAGGTGTCGGGAGAAGAAACGTGAGCTACAGTTGAATGTTTCATGAGGGGGCATACAGAAGATAAGTCAGACTGACAACAACTCTGCTACCACTGCACTCACTCTTCCCCATTAGGGTCTCTTCCTCTGCCAGTCCCTCCCACTCTATATCACTTTTAACACTCCTGTCTTTCACCTGTCTGCTCAGTCACCCTGTTCCTCAGACTTGCTACCAGGGTTTCACACGGCTGCACAAAACGAAGCTGAAGAGAGGTGGGTTTCCCTTCACTGGCCTAGTTACTCAACCATCAGAAGGGTGGTAACTGGGCTGGAAAGAACAATGCACTGAGGAATTAGCTATGCTAAAAGATAAGCAGCGCTGATCAGGACAGGTTGGCTTTCTGTCGGAAAGGTTTTCTAGTCACTGCAGTGGAGCATTCATGCAATTCTAGCAGGAAAAAACACAAGCCTGGTGAACTTTCTTTCATATTTTTCTTTGCATTTTTGCAGACAGACTTAGGTGATTTCTTTGACTAAACTGAGAACAGATTACATGAAGATTAAACTGCAAGTTACAAAGAAAAAATTAGTCATTTTTCTGCATATGCATGAATGTGAACTTTAATCAACACCTCTGGAGGTCAATCCAAAGCAGCTCAAAGAAGGTTCTTATTCACGCCAATGGCAGACACGGAATTCAAAATATTATAACTATACGGCCTTGCTAGCTGTACTACCAAGCCATTTCTGTAAACATCTTACACAACACGTGAATATTTCTCTAAGATTGGAGCGTATAAAAGCTGTTCATAAAAGGCTGGCAATATTATTTTAGCTGTTTCTGAAATCCAGAGAGCTTTAAAATAATTCATACCTAACGGTACATTTAAATACTCATTACTAATTGTGTTGGGCTTGGAATACATTTTAATTCAATGACAGGATTACATACACTGAGATACAAACTTATATAAATGCACTCGTTAGAGCTGTAGTGATAGAATGTTGTACTTTTAGGAGCTTAGAATAGTTTTTTTATGTCTTAAGGAAATCATTTTTAAGTTGTAAAGATAAGCTAGTCTTCAGTTTCCCTAATAGTCAGCTTAAGTTCCCCTAAATATACACTTGAATAGTCAATCAACTAACACCTGTCTCATCTACTCTGAATTGATGTCTTACAAGGAAAGACATCTAGTTTTCCAGTTTGGCTGTGATAAAGGCTAATAAAAAGGCTATTTATTAGCCTTTTATGTGCTGCTTTGTTTGACCTCTGTGCAATGTCAAGTTTCTTTTGAGCAATTTTTCATTTTTATAACAAATGAATTTTCTGGTTTTCGTTTTAAATTAAAATATTAATGGATTTTCAATAAATGTATTGTGGAGAATGCACAGACTCTTCCTGATTCTTTTTAGTGTAATAGAAATAGCTCAATGATTTGTGAACAAAGCATCTTGATTTAAGACAAAATAATACCTCCGGAGGAGCAATTTGGGGTGGTTCTTGCTCTCCAGGTTGCGCTCTATAAGGTCGGAGAGCAGGTGTTTGAGGATGTCTGTGGCATACTCCAACCGTCCTTGCAGGGAGGTCATGATGAGTGAAGCGACGTAGCCACGGTCTCGCATGGAGAAGGAGCGCTGCGTCTCCAGTGTGCGGATGAATGTCAGCAGGAAAACCTTGTTATTCACCAGCTGAGCAAACTGCTTCAAGGCTTTCTCCACATTCGCCTGTCCACTCCCAGGAACCTGCATGCATCACGCACAGTCGCACACACGCACATAGATGCGTACATTTATTAAATAGCACTTGCAGACGGATGAGTCAGAATGTATGAGAAACAAAAGGAAATTGACACGACAGTTCTCACAGACCACCTCCAAGGGCAAAGTGCAAACCAGAACAACTCATGTGTCTGCAGCCGTTGCACTATGTGCTAATCTTGGACTCATCTGATCTTCCCTTGAAAAGAAGGGTCATATTTTTTCTTTTGACATGTATAAATTCAATTTTTACACTAATTAAAGGGCTTCGCTTTAAACAAAATGAGATGCAATCAGTGAGTTCTTAGAGAGTCCATGTCATTGTGAACATAATATTGGCTGATTAAGGCAATTGTAATTTAAGCAACTTACTAATTTTGACCTTGTGGAAGTTTTCCCGCAAAAATATTAAGTGGCATTTGATTTGTCATCAGGGTTTATTCAAAAATGGATATCAAGTGCATTCAAGTTAAACCCCCGAGATGTCGACAGCAATAAAAAGTAAAAATTTTCAACACATCACCATGGCGACAGAGATGCAGGGTGGCAGAAAATATTTAAGATGTTGTACTGTTAAACAAAATGATATAAAACTTTCATATTTTTGACTTGCATTGAAGGCAAGAGGTCAACATATTTAAGTTGCATGACAGAGCTGCAGCAGTGCTTTAAAGTGTCCTCACCTCCAGCTCCCTCAGTACTGGATGATCATCAATGCCAGGAAACAGAACCCTCATTGCATAAGTGCGATAGTCCAGGAAGGGGATGCCAGCTCTATCCAGATCGCTGGTTAACTCATTGATGTCCGTCTGTAGCTCAGCGAAAGCTGCACATGCCAGATGACAGAGGTGTTAAAAAATTCTGCAATAATTTCAGAAGAAGTTGCTCTAATTCAAAGCTCCAGCATGCACGATGTGTGGATACCAGTAGTTTGAACTGTGGCTTGCAAACAACTGAACATTCTCCACTATTACTATTGCGTCCTATGAAAAAAAGCTAACGCCAGATGCTTGTTAGTTTATGGTTTCTCTTCCTTCTGTATAAAAGACACACAATAGCTGCGGGTTGGGGGTGTTAGTGTGCTATTTACCTGGAATTTTCAAACTGCTAACCAATGATGTTAAGTTCTACACTAGCTAAGAGCTATAGCTGAGTTATATTGCATTTCTACCAATACTGTACTTTCAGAAGTCTTTACAATTATGCTACCTTCAAAATATTGAAACATTTCTGGAGCAATAGAGGAATTGCAAATAAAAATTTAGTTGGGAAACTGACCAAATTAACCTTTCCGAAAAAGGTTTTACATCTCAGACGTCACTCACCCTCTTTACACTCCAGAGCTACTCTGGATTCCAGATTGTCCATCTGCATCTGCAGGCGCTTCAGAGTGAGATCATTCTCATGAGACTTTCGTCTGTAGGCGAGCAGGACGATGACGACGATGATGAGGAGCAATCCTCCGCCAGCCGCGATGCTGAGAATAGCTGGCATGGTGAGAAGGCTGTCCGATCGGATGTGAACTTCTCCAGGAGAGATATGCAGTCCACCTACCTGCACCTGGATAATAATAATAATAATACAAAACAACAAAACATCTTAAAGCGGTGCTAAAATGAAACAAAAGAAGATTTTTAAATGACTAGTCAAACTGTTGTGGCACGATGTGAGGATACCAGTAGTGATGCTTTGAATATCAATTAAAAGTTTAGTTGTTCAGCAATCAAATTATAATCTTTTTGCAAAAGCATCCCAAACTATTTTGAGTTCTTGGGCATCTTTATCAGCAAGCTGACACCCCCATTTTAGAGACTTTAAAAAAAAATATCTTATACATTTATTTTTCTGATTAAATGTAGTAGATTTAGCATTTTGTTAGCCGTAATCAAAGTGAACAAATGAAAACAATGACACACTATGTGTGTAATGAAGATATGAGTTTTACTATTTGAATAAATTAGTTGCGTGGCATTCTAATTAATTGAAGTGCACCTGTATAGTAAAAGATGGTCTTGTCATGTTTTTGTTTGTCCTTTTTTAAAAGGGTAGAATAGCTTGCTATTCTCTTTTCAGCTCTTTTGTCATTATTTGCTCATTTGTCAATAATTCCAGAGGACAATGTGTTGTAATGGGGAACCTACCAGACCATGAGTGACAGACAATGACAGGAAGCCAGCGACTAACTGAAAGCCAGCCGTTGACCCAAAAACAAAGTGACGTAAAGAAGACCACTGACCTACAGAGAGCAGCCCACATTCAGGCATGCAGACAAACAGAAAAATAAAAATAAAATGGACAGATGAGGATGACATTAAGACTTACCAGGACTTTATGTTGCCCAGTGAGGTTTGGTGGCTCGCAGAGTAACTGAGTGTCTGACACAGTAAGAGAACAGGGGGTATCTCCGATCATCACGGTGTAATTCAACCTGGCTCCACCAGAAGCAGATGGCACCAGGTTACGGCCCTGTTCACACAAATAATCAATCAAACACTTTAACGCAGTTATTTGAAACATTTTGCATTTTAAGAACTACTTTTGATATAATTTTTAACAACAAGGCTATTTTTGATCAAAGTTAATTTCCTTGTCAGAATTGAAAAGTATGTTTAATGTTCACTAAGTGACAGAGTTGTGTAGTGACTAATTACTTTTACTTGAGTAACATTTTGGAAAATTTTATTTTTAGGAGTAGCTTCACTCACAGTGAAGAACAAGCTTTTTTTTTTCAACCAAACATTTGTCATTTACAAACACACACCTGCATAATTAAAGTTTCGGAATTGAGCTAGAGAACACTACCACCCAAAATTCACATTTTAAATTGTAAACTGACACAGAGTCAAAATGCGCAAGGAAGATTAGCTTACTTAGACTCAAACTCATATTCCATGCTGTTCCTTCAGCCCAAGCAGAGCTAACAATTGCTAACAATCTATTAAAAGTGTAAAAAACACAACTCAGAGAACAATTTCTGGCAAAATATGGGATTGGTCTTACATATGTAACTGGAATTATTGCATCCCAGAAGATATGTTGTTTATATGAGCAATGGTGATTTTAAGAAGAGCCAAAAGCAGCTTAAGAACTTCAAGATACTCTATGTTGTGTGCCTTTCTTAAAGTAAGTAGTGTGTCAGATCAAATGTATTACAATGGCATTGAAAACAAAGTTCTGTAAGTCTATGATAACCCAGAACTTCTCTGACTTACTTTGAGAATGATGGGAGCGCCAGGTTTTTGCTCCAGAACACCTGAGAGGCTGAGGGGCTCCAGGTAAGGGTTTGGGTAGTAGACAAATCCTGTGTTGTTGTATGTGAGAAGAGCTTGGACGTTGTTGAAGACAAAGCCAAACTCATCCACGTGTTTTATCGTCTCCTGATCGGCGGTGTAATCCGCCTTCAGAGAAGGGGCGAAGCAGCTGATGGTTGTTGTGTTCAGAACTTTGCAAACCTGCAGAAGGATGAAATCTAGGGTTCCATCTTAAACTCTCCACAACATATCAAACACAACCTGATCTAGAATGTGTGTTATAGAAACTAGTCATTCGCTGAAATGACCTTACATCTACTAGCTGATCTGCCCCAGGTCATTTCAAAATGTCATCGCTGGGCATGGATAAACAACTTCATATCCTCGCCGACAGGATCCCGAGGTCAAAAAACATGATTAGTATAATGCCTCAGGGGTTGATGTGCTCAGGTATGAAGGCTGGAGCGCCTCGTAAAAACGCATTAGAATTTTATCTGATGTTGCTGTTTGTAAAATTCAGCAAGTTTTGAAATAAACTGGATTAAACATTTTTTAGCTGCAAGTTTTGTTAATGATTGTATCAATCGATGTGAATCTGATTTTGTGCAAGGTGAAAAATGTTTGAATATTAAGACAACGGATAAGCTTGATGTGTACAGTCGTATTATTCTTTGAGGAACTTGGAGGATTTGCTGATGCCTAAAAAAGATTTTAGGCACCTAGTGAGACACCTGTGCCAAAGGTCAACAGCACCTTCTCATCTGTTATTCCCATTGAAGAACATAATGTTACATTACAATTTTTGACTTTCTAACCAGATTTATATAAATTTCAGGTTCCAGAGGACAAACTATTCAAAGGTAATTAAGTGTTTTTCTTTTATTCTCACATTTTGAAGCTTTCAAAGTTATCCTTTGAAAAGAGGTATGCAAAAAGAGGCGATCAACATTTTTTTTGCTCTGGTGGCTATTTTCTGCAGCTTATTTGGTTAAAAGTTCAGCTTTAATCCCTTTATATCTCTGTTTTGCCAATGACACAACAGAACATGCAATTTTAATTGACTGGCTCAAATTCTGGGCTGGCATCAATACCACACCACTTAATTAGCTCAGGGCATATCTCTAACACACAACATTTTCTGCATACTGGCAAGACAAAAAAAAAAAAAAAATCTTTTTGACTCGCATAACACCGCCAGCTCCAACATTCCTGTTTTGAAATTGCAAAAAAGAAAATACTTCCATCGTTGTTTTTCAGGCAGTCTCATCAGGTACCTGTTCTAGTATTGATTTTTGAGTTTTTCGCCTTCAGACTTCTCTAGCAAATCCCTGAGTGGTCAAAAACTACAAGCTGAGGGTGCCTGAAATTTTGCCATCAGGACTGCAACAGTATAAAAACAATCAATCACTTTGAGCAGCTCAGACAAGCAATCTTAACACCATATATAACCTTCCAAAACTTCATTTTTCCACGTCAGTTTTCAGAATTGTCATTTATGTGAACAGCTCCACTCTCTGACTCTTTTGAGATGTCTTTTGTTATGTTTGATCTTATATTTTGCAAGGTCTCTACTTTGTAGCAGAGTGACATGCCATCAAAAACCACAAGCCATCAGTTAAATTCTGTTAAAATTAAATTAACAGCAGGGAATTTCAAATATATTCATATACCTTGAATTTAATTCAGCCAGTGGGGATGGATGCCAAGTGTATGCCACACTTTTCAGACTTTGGGCATAATACAAATGCACTACTTGTGTTGATCTATTAAATAATAAAACATGTTGAAGCTTTTGATTGTAACACGCAAAAGTATGAAAAAAGTATTTGCATGGCACTGTGCAAATCAACTGTGCATCTGTGTTGATGCAACATGAGTTTTTATAGACGTGGTGCGCTAGAAGTTGTCTTACTCACATTGACAGATTCATGGCCAGCATATTTGACTCGGACCCGAGGTTCTTGAACCACGTCCAGGTTTGTCCCAGTCACCGTCAGGGTGGTGTGCCCGCTGTTTGGATGAAAGACATGTAGTTAAAGCACTCTGCACAAGATATGAGCTGCTGCCTATTTCTTCATGTGTTGCTTCAAAGGAAAATGAAATTCTTGTAATTTTGTCAGAGTGCTCTTTTGCTGTAGCTGTCCAGGCTTTCTGAAGGTCTTCTACATTTTTTTTTTCTTTGAACATTGTTGAATTTTTCATTTCATTTCAGTCTTGTCCTTGTACCTTACCATTTTCAGAGTACTTTTGTATTTGGTCATACCATTCAACGTAGACATATGAGTCCTTCAAAGAAAAGGGACGAAATGTAAGAGATGACCCAATGCTTACAGGACCCACAAAAACCCATTTTAAATTGCACCAGTTGGCACTTTGAAAACAGCTGTCAGGGACGACGACACGAAATGTTCCAATTTCTTTCAATGCATCTGCAAAGCTTACCAAAGTTAAGAGTTTTACCAGAATAAAACAGTATTTTTTAACCAAGAAGGTGATTCACAAAGAGCTATTAAATGATAATCTGGCATATGGAGGAAAGATAAACTGGATAAACTGAAGAGGTAGTTCTTTTTATAAAGAAATCCTCTCCTGAGAATTCATCTACATTTTCAAACATTTTTTACAAAACAAATATTTAAACTATCTTGAGCAGAAAAATGGTTCATGCTTAAACTTGTATTTTCTCCTCTGGATACTTGAAAATACAAGCAGAAACACCAGTTACACTGCAAATGATCAAGTATTACACAGAATAAGAAAAAAAAAAACATGTTTATTAAATAATTTAGTGTCAAGACCTTCAAAAAGCCAGAAAAAAAAACTATTTTACCTTAGGACATGTTTAAAACACATGAAACTCGGTTATTTGGAAGCAAAACTTAAAAAAATAACAAGATTGGGGAGGTTTTTACACACCACTGAATGTCAAAGGAATTATTGCTTAAACATGTATGCATACACCAAACTCCAGGTATCCTGCACATGAACACAAGCTGCTTTTTCCTCAGTGATTTGATTAGAGCGGCAACCACAGAGAGACCAATCTTTTTCATCAACATTTCCCAGATAATTTGCATTAATGCATGTTTGAGGAGGTATAGCTGGTAGCTCGCCCTTTGTTATTGGGCAGAAAAAGAAGATCAAACGGAGAACCAGCTGGCTGCTATTTTATATTCAGCATTGAGTGTGAGACTGGCATAGCATGAATGCAGGTGCTACTTGTTTACATATCTGAGTTGGATTGGATTAAAAAAAAAAAAAAAAAAAAACACGCTCTAATCTTTGCACAACATGTGCAGCAGTGCAAACTTAGAAAACGTTTGGAGCGAGAGTGTGCACCAGGTGAAAAAGATGGATAAATACAGGGAGAGAAATTGGACAAAAATGCTGTTAAACCGTCCAGCGCGGTGAAACTAACAGAGTGCCAGCCCTTCTCTTCTCACACTTCAAAGGCCACCTAAGCTTGTAGGGCCTCATAGTGGGAATGCACATTATGATGAGAGCTCTTGATTGCAGCTCCACAAAGCTCCTCCTGTCACTAGGCTGTGGGCCAGGGTGACTCTCTGAAGCCTAATCTGCAGGGACGTAGTGCTGCGTAATTCCGGCCAAACCCAAATTAAGTGCCATTTACTGTTGGTCTCATGAAGGTAATAAAATCTTAATTTGTGTTAGAAATGTTTGTCTAGAAGATTTTTTTTACATTTGTTTTTGCTGTTTGCTGCTTTTGTTTAGTGTACAACAAATGGCTGGATTTGTCTGTCCATCCATTACCAATGTCAAAAGCTGCTTGTCATCGACTATAATTCCAACTTAAATACATCTATTTTAAACTTTACAGTGTTCAGGACTTGTACTGTATTTTTTATCAGGGTCAAAGTCACTTAAAAATCCTGTTGGTTGTTGTTAAGGGTGTATTTCTCACTGTTTCGGGGCTGTTGACAGCATTTAAAGGTTTGAAGGCTTTATCATTCTTTCAAACTGATCTGTTCTGCTTGGACTATAGATGATCTTTTTGACTTCTTGAATTCTTGATGCCTGTTGGACACATAAAAAAAGACACTATGTGGCAAAACTTTACCTCTTCCCCAAATACTTGATGTCTATGATAAAATATACTACTCTATTTGTTTATGGTAACTTAAAGAAAAACTGCATCTCTCCAAAATTAAAAAACAGATGAATAAATAACACTGCAATAAGATATCAAAACAGCAGCACTGCCCAGTAATGAAGACTTGTTTCCAATTTTTGTCATTATAGAACAATTATGGGGAAAAAAACAAACAAACAAACAAAAAAACAATTGAAACCAGTTATGCTTTGGCTCATGCCAAAGCATAACTGGTTCCCCTGTTAAATTACAACTTAATTTTGATTAACTACATATTTTGCAACGCTGGGCTAAATTTGACTAGCCAGACTGCCAGACATCTTTGACAACATAAGTCAGGCTAAAAGATTTTTGAAAGCAGAACATTATTATGAAGTTCGAGAACCGATAAGAGACCACGTCATAAACTTCTGTAAGTCTGTGAAAAAGCTTATCCAGCCATTTCTGAACCAGTGGGAGTGATTAAGACTTTTATATTCTCTAGAAAAAAGTGGTGTAAAATGACATGGCGTAAATCTAACAGCATTAAATAAAAAGAAACATCATCTTGATAATGAAATACGATGGAATGTGATGGTTTTGGTTGCTTTGCTGCTTTAGTAAACTTAGACATGTTGCTGTAAATCATAGAAATTTGATCTCTGGCAGAAAACCCAGAGGTAGAATACACAACAACAATATTTTGTGTGTAAATAATGTAGCTTGGAATGATGAGTGATCAAAGATTCTAAACATCAGATCATTTCTCCGTTTCAATGGATAATCAGCTCAAAATGATTCAGATCAGTATCAACAAAGAGGCACAATTAGAACATTTCAACATTTTATGTTTTTCTCTTTAGAACCCTGTACCGAAGAAATCTTGAGGCCTACTCCAACAACAATCAGAAGCATTTTGTCTCTGCTCTGATACTGCTAAGTCTGAGTACTGGAACTCTGTTATTCCCAGAGAAAATCTCAGATCATTCAAAATGCAGTAGCTGAAGCACTTACAGGAACTAGCATGGGAGAACATAGCTTTTCAATACTGGAAGCTCTTCACGAACTTTCAGCGAAATTCAGAACTGACTTTAAAATTCTTCTCACCAACATAAAGATCAACATTAGAGCCCCACAGTATCTTACAGATCTTCCATTCCTATAGTGTACTAAGAAGGCCCTTCATTCTCAGAGTGCAGGTTTACTTGTGAGTTCTCAGGACAAGAACAGGCTGCAGAGCATTCAGCTATCAGGCTGGGAATCAGCCAAACAGCTTTAATTCAATGGAGAAATTTTCTTTTTCTTTTCTATTATGCATAAATATTTTCTATGGTTATGAATTACTAATGGATAATTTCATACTAACATTTTGCTATAATATTCTACTGTAACATTTTTAAGCGCTCTTCAACTTAAAATCAATACAAATATTTTACTATATATTTTTGGTCTGTCTGCCTTTTCTTTTTTTTATTATAGCCTGTGAATTGCAAAACACTTATGTTTACTTTTTACTATATAATCATTTCTTGCTTTTTTTAAAAATATATTTATTATTGTTCCCACCTGACTAGTATAATTATTTGAAATAAATACTTCACTTTTGTAACGTGTATATTTTTGTAGGCAGTGCATAAAACTGTATTGCAGTTCATTCATTTCTGTTGTGTGAAACCCTTTGATGCTGGTAGAAAGGGACGAGGTAAATACATAAATAAAAATTGATTGATTGATATAGAGTGGTTATCAGTTGACGTCACGTTGCGTCAGCACCCATTGTACTGTGCGTGTCGCCTGCAGAAAGAAAGCAAGAATACATTATCCTAACTATTTAACCTGTTTACAATTTGGCTAATAAAATTATTTACAAGTCACCAGTTCAGTTCACATCTCTTTGCATGCTGCAACTCCTGCACAGAACTTTGCGGCATCTACATATGTCCAAGTTATTTTATTTTTAGTGAAGCGTCTTTGTACCTCGCACTGCCTCTCGTTCAGCCTGCTGCACTTTTGGTTTCTGATGGTTTACTTCATCGCCTGCCTTGATGACTGCAGCTGACTGGCCTTTTTTTTTTTTCTCTAATTGTGACCAAAATAAGAAGAAATGATTGTATTTAATTTGTCTTCTGCATGCTAAATATGAAATCTGTTTTGTGATGAAAATTTGCAGTTTTAGATAAACCATATTCGGGCACCTTTGTTCACCATGGATACGTTTGTCTTATTTAGAGGAACCCTAACACATCTTATTGAGACATGATGATTTGACCATGAACAAAACTGCTTTAATATTCTTAGTATTCATTGAAGTTTGGTCCATTCTTTCTTGTCATTTATCCACTCTCCTGAATGTAATGCATATAGATTATTAACACATATCTCAATCACTAACTTCAATTTCATAGCATAACTTCACTTACCTTGACGTGACAAACTGTTGTTATACACCGACAACATGCTAGCTAATGTTGAAACCATAGACATAAATAAGTAGATGCCTTATTCATGTTTATGGTTAATACAGCAAGACAACGGCAGGTAACCATGACAACTAGCAAAAGTTTAAAGGCAGGCTGGCTGTTTTGCAGTCAAGTTGCACGTTCCTCTGCAAAAACAAAAAAATCCCTCTATCGTACATAAACAGTAGTTAAACAGCTCCGAATTTTAAAATAACAACTAACTTGGCCTGTACAGGTGGCTTCATTACGTGTCGATGTGACACAAAGAGAAAGCAAATGTTCCCAGTGTGGTACCTCGCAATGCTCCACAGTGGTTCAATGCGTTGGACTGTGGGGTCTTCAATGTACTCAAAGGTCAGACTTCCAGGAGCTCTGGCCCGGTCGACACTCAAACTGACTTGAACTGGTCCCGCGCCCGTCAGCGATGGAGCCGCAAAGCACACAATCTCTGACATGCTCCTCCTGGTGGGAGAACCAAAAGAGAGAATTATTCATGCTTTCGATTGTGTCTGCCCCTCTCACTGCTGCAGAGGCAAATCCCTGACTTCATACAGTTATGAGCCACGCATGAAGGGAGAGGATTCATTATAGCCTGTCCCATCTCCTGCTTGTTGCAGTCATATTGGGGATGGAAACCGTAATTAGAGGGAGCTCTTTGCTAATGGCTCTTTTGCTTCACCTGCCTGACTGCTACAATGTGCAAAATTTTTACTTAAAATAGATTTCTATAAATACATGGAGAAAGAAATAACTAATGTGAGTTTCATCACTCCCTCACCAGTCATTACTTATTCCTAATTTAAAATGCAAGCACACACTTGTAACTAATGTGCACGTTTTTGAATAAATTGACTCATCCTGCGTTTGATTAAAACAAGAGAAGGCTAATTCGCTAATACTGTGCAGAGGCAATCTTACTCAAGTGCCTCTCCATCTGGGCTCCAATAGAAAGAAAGATTACAATAACATCAGGGGATCATATTATCATTAGGCTCACCTGTACAATTCGCAGGTTTGATTCCCAAAGTACACAGTGACAGTGCTTCCTGCGCTCAGATTCTCACCAACAATGGTAACCTTGGTACCCCCAGACTCAGGTCCTCTGCTTGGGGTCAGAGCCAAAATGGTGGATATCTACGGACAAACAAAATCTGTTTAATATTTATGGCAAAAAAATGTATTCTCAAAAAAACCTTTTTGCTTTGGACTTTGTCTTTTTCACCATTTGTTCAGCTTTATAAGAAGAGAGACTAGTTAAATTACGTATAAAGCTGCTTTTCTTGCAGAGGACAAAATATATTGTTAGAATATAAATATAAAATAAATATATCATGAATTATACATATCCACTGTGAAAATTCTCCTTGATATCTATTAAATCCACAAATCAAGCAGACTTGCTGTCTGTGATATCTGAAGTCACACTGGGCACCAAGATGTTCGGATGAGCCTGTTTATGATTTCTGTTAACTTTTCAAGCAAATTTTGAACTTAACATGTGAACCTGCACTGAATGTTTTTGCAGTTCCCTCAGCTGGCATAAAACAGCGTTTTTATGCTCAAGGGCTTAAAATTGAGAGATTTTGCAAACAAACTTTCTGCTTTTGCGGGAGAGAGTTGCCAATACTGTTTCCTCTGGTCCAGGATTCTTGTGTCTTCTATGTGGGTGAAGCACAATCAGGCTGTTACGCACACACACGACAACAAAAACGTAATCTCTTTATTTTTGCCTCCAATTAATTTAAAGCATTTCCCTTACAATGATTTCAAAGTAGCTCTGATTAGCAATGTAGTCTTTATGTACTGTGATTCTGTTCCAAGCTTTAAGGATCTCACAGAGTATTGTTTAAGACGTAATTTGAAAAAAGAAAAAATATGGTACAATTCTGGATTCTGTTCATGGCCAGCCATGCTTTCAAGAACCAGTTTTTACTGCTGTATTGCAGGTATTCTGGGTAATGTCTCTGCTTTACTAATTAAGAGAACTGAAATATTTTAGCTGGATTTTATTTCAGGATATTAGAATATAAACAGCTAAATACAAATAACACACTTTTCAGGTTTCATATGAAATTAATTTAGAAACCTGTGCATCTTTTTCTGTCACAGTTGTGACACTTTGCCTCCCATTGGCTGGTAGAAATTCTTTACCCAAAAGGGTTAAATGATAAAATGAATCTAGAAAAAGATTAATTCTGTTCCTTAAATATCACAATTGTGTCCAACTTTGTGTTTGTTTACAGCAAAGCTTCCAGAAAGGAGGACACACATGCTGTGCAATGATGCAATGAATATGCTAATTACTACATGATGTCAGTCAGTTATCTCTTTTGAAAGACAGTACCTGACAAAAAATTGAAAAATGGAAAAACCTCTTTTTGGGCCTAAACATGTAGTCAAAAATCATTCACAATGACATTTTTACCTGTGTGAACTGAGCTTTGAGGTAGCCTAATTATTAGCTGTGGATTCTCACTGCACAGGATTACAAAGAATATTTTTGTCAGAGCAAACTGACAGGTCTCTCTCTCTCTCTTTGTGAATTACCACAAACGTGTAGATCTGGGAGGACTGTGCGCTCAACTCTGGTCTGCATTCACCGACACATAGCTTGACTGGGCCTGGAGCGCTTCCTTCCAGAGCCGCATCCATCTCGCATACAATCCTGTCAAAAGCAAAACGTATAATGATAAATCGATATCCAGTCCAAACCACTGCCATCCGAATTTGGCTAATAATAATAACACAATCCGGATGCACAAACAATCACACAAGTGTGACTGCACTATGCCACATTCATCATGAGTCTCACTGGTAGAAGATGCTCTCTTTTGGTCAATGTGATTGAAGCAGACTTTCATAAAAGTTGCGGGTCAATACAGAGGCTCATCTTTCTTCCTAATAGGAAACCTATAACAGCAATATAACTCAAATGATAAACTACACCCCTTCCCATCACAGGCATGACCGCCATCCGCCATTACCTCCCGTTGCCATGACAACATGGGGATTTCTCCAATAAATCAGTATTGCCTGTCAGGTCAATAAGATAAAGCATGTTATGTATAAGTCATTACAGCAACTGACCCGATAGTGAAATTAATGGTTGTAACATCTGTAATGTCATGTTTTAAAGCGCTGTGTGAGCTGAATGAATGGCCCTGCTAAATCTGCTGCTTTGCAAAAGAAACCATAAGTCGTCCGCACAATGGGAGCACTCAATGAATCGTCCCGGCCCATCTCTTCTTCTCGTAGATCACGTGGGGATTCCTATTTACAGCTGGCATGTTCCTTTCTTTTCCTGGGTTTTTTTCTTTCTTTTTTGTTTTTTTTTGTTTTACAAGGGTATAAATAAAGTCGCTGCAGCTTGGTCCCAATCGCATTACATGCCTGTGAGAGAAACACATGGCTAACAGATTGTCCCTCCAGTCAGCGACATGCAGCGCATTTCAATTACAGCTGTACCGACAGCCTCATAACAACGACGACACAAAGACTGTCTGCCTCCCTCTTTGGCTGAGGCAGCACCAGAGCAAAGCGAAGTCCCCTGCAGCCTGGGGAGGCGTGTCGACTTTTTACTTACACACCAGCTATGATTCATGATCTTAGAGTCATGGAGAAAAAAAAAAAAAAAACTATGTACAGTATACGAGCATGAAAGAAATTGCATGGGTTAATTTTCATTGAGGTTTTGGATTTGCAAAATATTGCATTCAGTGCTTTGTGAAAGTATTCATACTCCATGCTGCTTAGAGGGATTCATTGACTGGGCTTGTATAGCAGAGGGACATAATTAGTGAATGTTCTATTAAAGCACTTTTTGAAAAAAAAAAAAAAATTTTCTTTGATTTAAAACAGAGAACTAGATAAAAATATGGTTTACCAGACAACCAGATTTTGTGTCTTATGTGTTGACTAAACCCAATAAGATTTTAAAAAGTCAATTACAGCAAAAATGTCACAGATTCATACAACGATCCCCTTCTTGGAGTTAAGTAGAAAGCTGGAATTGAACCTCCAACCTTCTGATTGCAAGACAACTATACTACCCATTGAGACACGTTTGTCCCATGTCTTGGTTTGATTGTAGTTGTGCCTTTTTCCTCCTATTGTCAGATGATAGGTTGAAATGTGGTGTCTGAGGTAGCATCTGTATTGATACTGCAAATAAATTACACAAAGCTGGGCTCTACGTAGCAGTCAGGTGAAATCTAATGACAATTAGTTGTACTGGATTTTTCTTAAGAGTATCAGTTTCACATTTTTTAAATTTCAATCTATATCCTTTTATTTCTAATTCATAAATATGCTCTACCCTGTATTTGCCTATTTTTAAAAGGGAAATACTTTAGAGTTTGTGTTTCAGGATTATAAAATGTAAGTACTTCTTTTGTGTTTTGAACTGAATGTTAGGAAGGACTAGTAAGCTAAAATATAAAGCATTTGTATATGACAACAGTGATACACTAAGGATGATGTCTTACTGCTCTGCAGTGACGTATCCCTCCTGCTGCGGTGTGCACTCCACTCCTGCCACCTCCACGTTACCCACAAGCTCAAAGAAGGAGAGACCCAGGTTCAGGCCCTGAATAGTGACAAGCGTGCCCCCCTCCAGAGGTCCTGCTACTGGGCTTATCTTATATTAGAAGGAGATAAAAAAGTACAAAAGGATTTAGTGAGATCTTACTTGTGCGAAGATAACAGCTCTGGATTCTCTGTTATTTCCATTTGTCAGTGTTAAACTTACTACAATTGTTTATGTGGACAAATGTAGTAAGTTTAATTTAACTTTTAAAGTGTTCATCTTAAAGTTTACAGTCAAAGCACTCTTAAAACAACAAATTCCCTTCTGTAAGATTTCATTTAGTTTTTGAACTGAAATCTTTGAAGGATGCAACTCGTGCAGAAAATGAAAAGCAGACTTTTCAAGACTTATTCAAAAAGCTTTGACATTGGCAATAATTCAAAAATAAACTTTCATAAATAATTCAGAGGATAACAAAGCCTTGAGAAAACCATTCACAGCACATTCCAGTGAAAAAAGCAAACCATGCCAGCAGGGGAACATTCGGACCTACAGAGCAGAATAGGAGCAATGGTGAAGCAACTCCGCCTGTGCTGTCGAGCAGCGCTCGGCGGTTGATTCATTCTGCTGCAGCTCCTTCAGAAACACTAATAATGTGACAGGGACATCAAAGGCTGCCGGCTCTTTGAAGTGGAAGAGCCTTGCATCTTTGTGCATGACCCACAGTGCCTTATTCAAGAGAATGAACAGGGGTTTGGGACATAAAAGATCCATCACTTTTTTCTAAACAGACTGAATACGTTTAGCTGTCAAGAACTTAAGGTATTCAGCTGGCATGGAACAAAATGTCAGATAGTCTCAGGTAAACAGACGTAGCTGCGGATTCTCTGCATTTTGTTGCTGTTTAAAGCCCAGACAACAACACATTCACATGATGTCCTGGAAGTTTTTTTCCAATACAGAAGCAAAAAAAGTAAAATATACTTTTAGATATTTTACGAGGAATTAAACTTGGAGTATTTCTATACTTTAATATTTTTATTTTGACATGATTACTCACCTACACCAATAATCTTTGTCCACCTTGATTTCTCTAAAAGTATTTTTGTGGAATTGGCATGAGGTCAAAGCACGATCGAAGACACTTTCCTGCTCTCTGCCATGGTTTAAACTTTTTGAACAAACTGCACCAAAGCCAACAAGTGTTTTTGTAGTTTGTTTTTGCCAATTTTAGAGTTTGTAAATCACAAAAGGAGAAACTAACAAGAATTATTTTTTGATCAACCGCCAGTTGACTGAAAAACAGCTAAATACAACACATGCGAGCCTATTAAGCTAATGATAAAAGTGAACATGTATGACTATGCAGGTAAAATTGCACACATGTTTTGTCTGCATGAGTTCGAAAGTTGTGCAAGCAACAAACCTCAGTAATGCGTGGGTTGGTACACTTGACATTCCTGGCAGAAAGGTCCAGCCAGCGGCTGGCGTAAGGGGAGATGGGAGGACAGTGCTGCCTCATGGTGCACCGACCCTCACCACTACACCAGCCACACTGGAACTTCCTTTCAGCACGTAGACACATGCCACAACTGTCCCGCTGGGCGCTGCACTTGTACAGATGCACTGCAGAATAACAAATAACGATGCTTTTAGCTGATAAAAGCCAAGAAACTGCACTTCTTTTATGATGCTTAAATAGCTTAAGAAACCTATAGAAACTAAAACTTTATGGCAAACGGTAATCAAATAAACATATTGCCCCACAATGATGCCACAGAATTTTATCCCCGAACACTTTGTCATGTTACAACCACAAACTTATTGTATTTACTTTATTTCCATTTACTTACTGTATTTCACTGAGTTTTTATGTCAAACTCAAAGTAGTTCATCCTTGATTTTAATTTTGGTTTTGTGAATATATAAAACATTGAAACTGATTTATCTCCAAAAGTGACTGACAGGGAAAAAAAAAAAAAAAGAAAACCAATCAGGGATGCAAGCTGAGCAAATATGAAGATTCACCCATTGCCCCCCTGGGCATAGAAGTGATTTGGTGCTCTTTGATAAAAACCCAGTGATAACGTGAACTTTCTCTCAAGGCCTTTTGGGAACCTTGAAGTGCTCTCTATAAACCATATATCGCCTCTGGATTGAGTGCTTTACACTCCTCTGGCTTGGCAGTGATGGATGGCAGAGGCACCTTTAATCTTCTCGGGATTGTCGATGATGAAGTTGCCGTTCCATACGATGGAGAGGTCCACCGCCAGGTCACTGATCTTCACACCCTCGTACATGTACTGAAAAGCAGAAAAAAAACGAGATTGAAAGGGAATAGGCTTCAAAATGGAAACAGGAAGAGAGGGAAGTCAAATGGAGACAGAGGATAGAGAATATAAGAAGACACAGAGAGACTGAAAGGAGAAAATCAGAGGATGAAAGGCCAGCGGAGAGACGAGGCTTTTAACCATCTGTCATTTTCTGCTATGGTTGTCTGCTCTGTTCCTCTTTGACATGTAGGGACACAAACCTTGGCTGGGGTGACCAATCATCTGAATCTGAGGAAAATGGCCTTTTCATACATTGTCACAGCATTGCAGTATATGCTGTGCTTCAAAATGTACGCTCTGATTTGCATTATGTAGGGAAGAAAAATCCAAAGAAATCTACAGGGTGCCTCTGAAACCCTGATGATCCTGGATTGCTTTCACAAAATTCAGAGACGGAAAAGTATTTCTTTCCTCATGTTTTGCACGTTTTTTCTGCACCTCAACTTTTTCTTTCCTCCCCATTCGTGTCTCTACGGTGCAACATCTAAGGCAAAATTCATTGATGCTGATACACCATGCACAGCTTGACAATAGAGCGTCTGAGGCGGTGTCTCTGGTTTGACAGCTGAGAGACTCCCGCCGAGCATGTTCGGGGTCATACCGAGCTGTTCTGGCACTGAACGCTGGTGCTGTTGAAGCGCAGTGCCGTGACACGGTGACTGACGCCCTGTACGTTCACCACGCACTCGTAGCCCCGCTGGCCCGACTGCGGCTGGGGGAGGTTTCGGGCCCTCAAGGTGATCGGTCGGACCTCGCTGGCCGGAATAAGAATTTCCCCAGAGTTGAGGAGCTGAGGGCAGTCCTGTGAGAGCAAATGAAAAAGTAGTTCATAAGAATACCCCCTCACACACTGTTTCTATATTAAGCTAGGAAATGTACACATAAAAGCAACATTTAAATCTTTTTTTTTTTTTTTTTCTGTTTGACATTAAGCTAGTCTAAACTATTCTTCTTTGGGTCAGGTAAAATTACCAAAATTATTCATAACTGTATGATACTCCAAAAATAAGAGAATGTTTTGCTTAAAAAAAATTAATTAAAAAAATCTTTATAATTGCATGTTTATTTACTTTTCCTTAGAATTTGGTAGTAATACCTTTTAAACCAGATGAATTGGGTCAAATATTTCCTTCCACATACCTAACTCACATACTGAGTTAGGTTTACAGACCATCTTGCTCAACCATGTCTTTTCAACTCTTCCCACAAATTTTCTAGGGGATTAAGATTAAAACATTTTGATGACAAATGCGAGGAATGGCTTTGTTGTCTTTAAGCCTTTTAAGAACTAACTGGCATCTTACTTTTTCCCCTGAATCTAACAATGCTTGTTTTAGCCAAGCATATCAATTTTATTCTTATCCTACCACAAAACATGTCTCCAAAAAGTGAGAACATTGCTCCTGAATGCAATTACAAACTATGATCTGGTTTTGCTATATTGCTTTTGGAATATTGGATTCTTCCTCTCTGAGTGGCTATTCAGCTGATGTTGGTTCATTTCTTGTTTCAGTTGTGACCAATGGCACTGTCGCTCCAGACTTGGCCAGCATCTTTACCAGGTCGTTAGCTTTATTGGTATTTGTTGCACATTCTGCATCAAATGCATTTATCTCTAAGGCACAGAAACTGTTACCTTTGTGAATTATTAAATGTTGGACATTCTCTGGGAGTTTATACTTCCAAATACATGTGATAACTTAAGCATCTGAAAAAAATTTCTGACATTTAGCTCATACATGTGATAATGCTAACTGACCTAAAACTGGAAGGGTTTAGTCTAATTTTATGTTGGGTACTGACAAAAAGAAATTGTGTCATTTCACATTTTGAATATAAAATATGTGGTTACAGCTGTGAGTGACAGCAAATCACTGCACCACATTTACAAAACCTCTTCTGCATATTTGTGTGTGTCTGTATTTATAAGCTTATGCTCTGTTACATAAGCATAGAGACCAATGTAGAACAGGGATTAAAAGGGTGTATGGGGCAAAAGTATCAGTATAAATATAACTCATTTTCATTTTGTGCATGGGTTTATGCAATGCAATAAATAAAGATTTTTCATAAATACAGATTTGGTTTACTCTTAAAAACTAAGGATCAGCCTCAAATGAAAGTTTTATCCGATACACTCTTCTAAAAACTAAGATCATGTCAACAAAAGTTATGTAGGCAATGTTATTACAACCTCAAAACATCCCTTTATGATCGCTTATAGTCACAAATGCGGTTGTAGGCTCTTAATCTTGTTTATTCTTTATTTTTGAGCTTCATTTTCAGTTCTTTGCAGGTAAAAACTGAACGGTAAAAGTGTTACTCAATAGATTAATCTTACATCTGAAAGCACTGTTTAAATCAGGTGCAGTAATTCTGTTTCTGTACCTCGGACGCATTGACTCTTCCTTCCTGGAAAGAGCAGCTGCTTGGGTCATGGGTGCAAAGGTTGCGGTATTTACACCAGTGGCAGCGAAATGTGCTGTTCACACATGACAGACACCTGCACAAAGAAATAACCACATATTACTACATACCGTAAATAAACATGGACATCTTTAAACTATAAACACTCTTTCAGACTCATCTTCAGCAACATTTCGTAAGACTTAATTCAACTGCATTTCTTTCCTCAAGATTTATATACACCAAAATTGAATGTCTTTTGTTATTTTGGAGATGATAAAATATGACCATGAGAAAGCAGACTCACTGGACAAACCTCTGCATTTAAGTAAACTTTAAACAGGTGAATTACTGTACCAAACAATTATGAAGCATCAAGGACATACAATGTCCTTGTTAGATGTACTCTGATGTCAACTTGTCAACGTACAGTCCACAATTATTGGCAACCCCTCTTAAGACCCTTTTGGAAATTGAAAATGGTTGTTATGGAGACTTAAAGACAACATAGTGCTGCTGTTTTCTGCGCTTTTCTAGCTCAGAGCCTTCAGTATTAGCTTCCTTTACATTCACCACACCGTGCCTGGTGGTGGAAAGGTGAACTTTGGTTGTTGCTCAGCTTTTTTGTTTGCCAAAGCTCCACTGTACTTTTTTTAAAACCTTTTGAAATATTGCTATGAATGTAGAGTGAAGGATTTGTCCTGGAATATAGAAATAAACTTTTTGGTTGAATGAAAAATTACTCTGAATCTAAACCTTCAAGGGGTATGAATAATGTTTGGTTTAACAATACATGGAACATCATTACATTTTATACACTCGGCACCCATATTCTTTACAGCTGTCGGGGCTTCACATCAAACTCTGACTTCCCCAGTTCAAATTCTAACTTCTAGTAGCACTATTTCCATATTTCCACCTGGAAAGTCAGAAAATTGGATTTGCAGATAGGACATCCCATAATTGTCCTGGGATATAGAATCCATGGATACCAAATACTAAAAAACTTAAAAAGCAAAGCATAAATTACAGAACTGCTTCAGGAACATTTATTTTATGGGAATTTCCACATGTGCAAATAAGCATGGCATTCAAAGGTTGGATTTTATTGTAATACTTTTTACAAATTATCTCCAGAGGGTGAAATAATATTAGGGTATCCTGTATTCATGTGATTAAATTTGTTTTTACTGCTCACAGGATGTTCTTTACTTTCAGGTGGTATTTTTATTTTACCCATTCATCATCTGATTATGTAGAACATGGGTTAAAAGTGGCAGCTCATTATGTGAAGGGTAGAGTTGTGCAACATCCTTGGCTCAGATTCAGTTGCCTCTAGCATGCGGTCAATTGTGGATTAAAGTTGTTCCTGAACAACCTCAGCCAACTCGATTAAACAGCAAACACGGAGACAATTTAAAGAAAATTTGCAATTGAAAATGTCTACTTTTCCTGATGAAGTAAAAAAAAAGAGCAATAGATCTTATTTAATGGGATGCAGCAAAGAGAAAAACGTAAACCACCACAAGCCTTTTGATACTGCAGCTCATGCCGACCAACAAATGGCAATAAATGTAGAGCTGCATAATTAAATTTTGATAATAATTAGCTGCCCAAGGCTAGGACGGACATTAAAAAGTGCTACGTGAGGAAAAAAAAATATGGGGTGGGAGCGGCTGTGCATCGCCACAGTGTAACTAGACTGGCAGGGTGCTGCAGACACTGGATAATTCATTATGGAGGCTGACGTGATGCGGAGGTATAGTAAAGAGGGAGATGGGAAAGAAGGTGCAGGGTTAGGAGCTTGTTTTGTGTGAAATATTAATCACACAAGTATACAGGGTCACCCTGCAGCTAATGGAGGCCATATTGTTGTGGAGCAGATGCGATGAGCATCCAACTGTTTATCACTAATGGCTTATTATGGGTATGTTGTGGCATCCATGTTTCAGTTAAAGTGAATAAATGGGATGTCTGCACATAGTGGACTAATTCCCAGTCAATCAAAAAAAGAAAATGCACTCTGCTTCGGTAAACTCCTGTTTACTCTTTGTTTATGCTGTAGTGTAGTAGGTGGAGTAAGGCTGATAAAGAAAACATTGCATGAAAGGTCTTCATGTGACCTTTCAGTTTTGTGATTTGGCCTCTTGACTTTAACTGTCTTGTCTTGTGTTTCTAACAAACACACAGAAGTTTGCATGTTTCTGAGGAGTCTTTTAAAGGTGACATGTACAACTAATTAACGTTCATCCTAATAAGATCTGCTATTGTTCCTGCTTGTAATTGTTATGCAAAATGCAAGCCTCTTGCCATAGTTTACTGTTGTGATTAATACAGTTGACATTTACAAAATGGCTCATAGTCAAAACAGCTTCCCGGACCCAGTTAGGGAGCTTATATTGGTTGGCATTTAAATAAAGTTCTCTTTAATTTACACAGTTTTACCTGCCCTGAGGCACCAGAGGACGACAAAAAAATAAATAAAAATAGTGTCTTATGATTTTCCCCTGCAGACTCCCCTGAGACAAAATTAGGTCAGAGGGGGGTCTGTGAGTCTAATGCTTATCCATTTAGCAGCCCTTGGAGAATGCCAGCCTTCAAGAAACAGTTTCTAGCAGCCAGACAGCAAAACTTCACTGCAGGGAAATTTTACATTGATTTGAAAATACTAAAGTCCAAAGTGGTATTCTCAAATTGCACCATCAAAATCACACTAGGGCTTGATTTTGGTATTGATTAGATGGCAACTGAATTTCTGTGTCATGTCTGACTGAGTTCATCGTTACAGAAGACCCACAGATCAGACTTTTGGTTTCTTGTCTGCCTGAAACCTCATTATTAATCATTTCAGCATACAAAAATGATTAAAATGCTTTTGTAGTTTTGAATCTAACTAAAATAAGAAATTACATTATCCCCGAATGTTGCAAGTATTATGCCCCTAATCTTTTGCTGATTGTTTTCAATTTAAAAAATAAGGTGGATTAAAGCAAATTCTGTTTGGGGCTGTAATGACACTCAAAAATCATAGTTTATTCCGAACTTTGGTTTTAAAGGTTACAGTTGTTTATGTTTTTAGGGGTTTTTTTTCTGTAAAGAAAAAAATAGTGTCTATTATAGAGATTAATTGAGTTTTGGTGGAATTTTCTCTTACAACCAAAACACCCAAAAAATATATGCTGGCTTCTTTTAATAGGATTCTGATGACATTTAAGAATAAAAAAAACATTAGGTAATTTTCCAGTGTACCAGATGTACTTGAATCTGGTTATTGTAATTAATATCACAATATTTCCTAAATATTTTAGCCATTGCAGATTTTCTAACATTGTCATTTTACATAGGACACACACCTAGACTTTCTGTATGCATTTCAAATAATAAGCTACTTTTACTGTAAGTGAAATTAAAAGTTTTAAAAAAAAAAAAAAAAAAAGCAACTGGGTTGCAAAAAAACAGAACCAATATTTTTTAAACATCTAAAAGTTTTAGATAATCACCAGCAACCACTGCCATCATCAGAACCATTTTGGGACATTTGGGACAGAACGTATCTGATGTGCCACAATAAAATTTAAAGTAATACTTATTGTCCAAACTGTACTTAAAAACTCTGTGCAGATAAATGCAGAGGATGATAAACAAACATATAGTAAATAAAGAAGAGAGGAATATTTTTTTTTTCTTGATATGCTATTTCTCATTTTTCTTATAACTGATCCCAATTGAATTATAACTGTATCTCTATGTTGTGGTCAGAGACACAGTGGTGAAAAAAAATTCAGTCTTTACATAAACTAGCACTCAAACAATGGGAGAAACTGATGTCAAAAATGACATCTTATCATGGTAACAACCATTCTAGAAATAAATCTCAAAATAATTTTCAAAGTACTTACATGATAAGAGCAAGGAAAAAATAGCTAATGAGTGTGTACTACCACACAGAAAACTTGTCAGCTGTATTCAAAGCTGTAAGCAGTAAGCCCACAAACTGCCACTAAAGCAAAGGCGAAATAAACAGCCCATGACAAATTCATCATGTTGATTTAAATGAAACCTGACAGATAAATTGAACTCTGAGGTTATCTCGCAGCGCGATCTTAAGTGGGGTTGGAAGCATCAGTACATCATTGCCCTAAATTAAGTTGTGTTCCTCCATCTATTGAACAAATCAAAGGTGGGGGAAGGGCGGTGCACTCACATCTGATGTGTGCTGCAGTTGTAGAACTTCACCTCTGTACTGGCGACCATTTGACCCGTCTCGTTTGAATTCAGTCGAAGCTCCACTCCGGCCCAGTCTGAAAGAAAGTGTTTATACAAAGAACACAGTTCGCTGAAAAAAAGGGGAAGAAAAAAGCAGACAGAAAACGGATGAGGAGAAGAGCCAAAACAAAGACAGGATCAAAGAAGTCAAAATGAGGAGAAAATTGTAATACTTTTATCATTTTAGTGCAAAGAGCCACCTGGTGTATGGGCTCCTGGAAGCTGCTGTCAGGAAAAAAGCCTTCAGTCAAAAGCTTCAATTCAAGGATTACCCTAAATGGTTGGAGGAAATCTGCAGCACTTTGTCCTCACCTACCTTAAAATATATACACAACTTTTGGCACTAAATAGAAAGGACATCTACTTTGGCTTAAAACCTTTCATTTTTACATTAACCCTATTTGAAGTACTGTGCAAGAACTACAAGAGTTTCAACTACATTGCTTCATGCAGGAAGACTTTATTGTAACCTTACAAAGTGGTTTTGATCAGTAGTTCTTCAGGCTTTCTATTTAAAATAGATTTTTTTTTACTCATTTTCTATACAATTCAGTAAACTTGGTAAAAATGAAGTAAGGGGCAGAACAATTGTCCATCTAAAAATGTTCAACAGCAGATGAACAGTATCTGAAAAAGGAAAGAAAAATCAAGCAAAACCCAATTAGAGGACTTGAGAGGTGAATCATTATTTGTTTAATCTAGCCACTGCTAGAGCTCTAGTCATCATTTCTTAAGAAATGTTCTTGTTCGTTCAAAAATGTAATTCTAGGCTAGATGAAAAAAATTCTAAAAAAAATATTTTGTCACAGCAGCAAATTCCTTGCAGATCCAGTATAAAATTGGTTATTTGCTTAGTTTGGTTATATGCAAACAATGGTACATCTGAGTCTTTTGTCCTTAAATGAATTACTGATCAAACTTAACAAGCATGACCAACAAAAAGCTAACAGTTACAAATAGTTAATTAAATAGGAACTGATGATAATTAGAGGTTCTAACAAAAAGCCTTTGTACCGAAACCATCAAGAAACGTGACTCAAGACCACCTTAAAAGATTAAAGCAAAATTGTTCTTTTTTGAAGCAAAATATGGATAAATAAGAGGTAACTTAAGACCTTTAACGGTGTTGAAAAAAAAAAATTAATGTAGGGGCTGCTAAGAATTTATTTCAAAAGAATCTATAGGCTAATTTCAGAATTAGTCTAAGCTATTAATTTTTCTAATAGACCCACTTTTTTTTTACAATAAATATTTATGACATTTATGATGTATCATAAAATGTGAACAAATCTCAATTTTAAAGTAAATGGAAAGGAAATAAAATATATGTATTCAGTTCCCCTCTAACAACATTAACTAAAAATAATGAAGCCCTCATTTATTAGTTCAGACTGAAGCAAAAGTAAACAAAAACAGAGTTCAACTCTCAAGAAAAACAAGTTTGTGTCTGCTACAGCCTTTAATGAAATGTATTGTAGCATACAAATGATTAGCTGTGTGCATTGCATGTGTTAGCATAGCTTAAATATGATTCCTTTTTGTAATAGCTACACTGTTAAATGCCCTTAAAACAGTAAATAAAGTATGGACATGAATACGGCGCTTTTCAGTCAAAAATCCATCTAAGCTACATCATAAACACTTATTGAGAAAAAATGTAGCAAACAATTTGTTTAGCTTTAGAGACCTTTCAGTAACTTTAATAAATGCAAGGGTTTTATTTTCTCTGTTGGCTCATTTGTAGCCTCTGGGTGTTGTCTCTTTAGCTACTCATCATAGATTGTGCTTGTGCTGCTTTGCTTCACTACAACAACTATCAGAGCATCTAAACCCTCCATTTATCATCAGCCATCATGGAATACTCTCATACTTTGGACTACTTCAGGCTTTGATAGTTTAAATACTCTTCTAACTCAGCTCATTTGACAGTGAGACGTTTGCCTTATTTGCTATGTTTGATTTGAAACTGTAGCGAGACGCAACCAACTCAGCCCTACATACAGTAGACAAACAGTAGACAAACACTACTGTATGTAGGGCACACACATACACAGATGCAAAATCCCACTGCTCCTTGCTGCACCCCGAGGACTGTCTGGACACAGCAGTTTGTTACAGTTGTAACTTTTACTAAAAGTTAATGCATTCGGTAACACTTTATTTGAAGGGGGGTGAATAAGACTGTCATGACACCGTCATAAAGATGACATAACACCTGTCATAAACATGAATAAGCCTTCATGAATATTTATGACTGTTGTCATAAAGTGTCATAATTTACC